AAAAAAAAAAACAAAAACAAAAAAATCACATTTTTAATTGCTTTATTTTGGGAAGTGGGACTTGCGGGCGGGCAAAAGGGGCCACGTTGATGCTGGGCATCTTTGGAGATCTAGCCCCACCGACACCCATAGATGTCTGAGTACCAAGGCAAGGCAAGAACCTCTTGGAGTTTGGGCTCAAACCAGACGCCAATCTGAACATTGAGCCGAAAGCGAGCCAAGGTGAAGACGGCGCGTGAAAGGAAGGAGCGTTGGGCCAGGATGCGGTTGTTGATGCGATGCCATGGGAGGACGGAGCGAAGAAGAAAGTGGGCTGGCTGACCAAGACTTGGCCGAAAAGGGCGTGGGCAATGTCGAGCGGATGGACAAGTACCGCACCAAGGTGCGAGCCAAGATCCACCCGACTCTGCCCAACATCAATGCCTTTGCCCCAGGTGACAGAACGACCGCTACTCACTTGCCGTCACTCTGTGGGTCATGACAACAAAAGTCGCCCGAAGCCGAAAATGCTAAGATCATACTTCTGGCTCCAGTTGCTAAATCACGCTCTGCGGCTCTTTGCTCGCACTCTCGTCACGCTGAAATCTGGGATGATCTGATACACAGCGTGCAAATGCAGGTGTTCGGGGTTGGCGGTATATGTACAACACGAGGCAGCGCTCCGACGGTGACCCGTCGGGCGAGCTTAAAGGCATCTCCGTCAGCGCTTCTAGCACAACGGACATGTCCTTCTTTTGTTATTTTGCAGCTACCAGCGGGCAAGCTCCGACATGGGTGATGCGAAATTAATCCTCGAGGAAGAAGTACTGGCCGGCTGCCTTCTGCTCCTTGTCCTTGATCGAGTTGAACTTGTTGACACGCGGGCGGTAGTTGGTAGGGTCGCGACGCATCGACACCTCGAGCGTGGCAAGGAAGCTGTTCATACCGGTGAGCAGCGACTCGGGACGCTTGGCGGTCGCCTTGACGGATGGCTGACCCTCGTAGACAATCACGCGGTCGGCGAGGTAGGTGGCCATGATGATGTCGTGCTCGATGATCATGGCCGTCTTGCGCGAGTGGATGATGAAGCGCTTGATGACGCGCGACGCAATGATACGCTGCTCCGAGTCGAGGTACGCCGAAGGCTCGTCGATCAGGTAGATATCCGCCGGCTTACCCAGCGCCAGCACCAGCGCAACACGCTGCAGCTCACCACCCGACAGCGTCTGCACGTCGTTGTCAATGATCGCCTCGATCGACATCGGCTTCACCACATCGGTCTGGAACTGCGGGTGCATAAACGCCGCCTTGATCTGCTTGAGCAGCAGCATGCGCACCGTGCCCTGGAACTTGGGCGCAATCGTCTGCGGCTTGAGCGACACGTTGAGCTGCGGCGGCTTCTTGGCACCCGCATCGGGCTCGAGCTTGCCTGCAAGCATCTTGACAAACGTCGTCTTGCCCGTGCCGTTCTCGCCGAGGAAGACGATGATCTCCGAGTCGCTGAATTCACCACCCTCGATGTTGAGGATGAAGCTGCCGAGCGTCTTGGTCATGGGTGGGCACGTGAACTTGGGCGTCCTGTCCAGCACCTCGTCGTCGGCCGTCTCAGAGATCTTGAACGTAAGCGACTCGTCGCGGAAACGCATGTTCTCGGCGGGGATGTAGCCGTCGAGGAAGATGTTGATGCCATCACGGACGGGCGAAGGCACGGTCACGACACCGTACACCGAGGGGACGCCGTAGAGGCAGCAGATAAAGTCCGAGAGGTAGTCGAGCACGGACAAGTCGTGCTCGACGGCGATGACGTAGGTGTTGGAGTCGAGGAGCGAGCGGATCATGCGCGCGGCGTTGAGACGCTGCTTGACGTCGAGGTACGACGAGGGCTCGTCAAACATGTATACGTTGGCGTTCTGGATGCACGACATGCCGATGGCGAAGCGCTGGAGCTCTCCACCGGAGAGGTTCTGGACGTCGCGGTCGAGCACCTCCTTGAGGTCGAGCATGTCGATGACCTCGTCCTTGTTGTTCCTCTCGAGCTTGCCGTCGAGGAGCTGCGTGACGCTCGCCTTGCCCTTGATGGCACGCGGGATGTGGTCGACGTACTGGGGCTTGATGAGCGCCTTGATGTTGTCCTCGAGCACCTTGGTGAAGAAGTTCTGGAGCTCGGAGCCGCGGAAGTACTTGAGGATCTCCTGCCAGTCGGGAGGGTCGTCGTAGCGGCCGAGGTTGGGCTTCTGCTTGCCCGCAAGGATCTTGAGCGCGGTCGACTTGCCGATACCGTTGGTGCCGACGAGACCGAGCACCTGACCGGCACGCGGGGTGGGGAGACGGTGGAGCTTGAACGAGTTGGCGCTGTATCGGTGCGTGGTCTCGTTCTCGAGGTTGGTGGGCAGCTTGATAATGTTGATGGCCTCGAAGGGGCACTTTTTGGGGCAGATACCACAGCCGATGCAGAGCGATTCGGAGATGAAGGCAATCTTGCTAGACGGCGTCACCTCGATACACAGACGGCCCATGCGGACGACGGGACACGACTTCTTGCACTCCTGACGGCATTTTTTGGGCTTGCACTTGTCCGAGTTGACAATGGCGATACGGGTCTCCTTCTCTGCTGGTGCTGGCGCCATGGTGGGCTATGTGACGGTACGGCGCGCCTCGTGCTCTTTGCTGCAAAGCGCGAGGTGGTGGGAGCGACGATGAGGGATGAGGTAGGCGAACGGTGGAGACGGGTGAGTGGAAGAAGGGAGCAAGGTCGCGAGACGAACGAGGAAATGCTGGACTCGGACCGCAACGTCACTGCTCGGCCTCACAGAAAGCAGAAATTGCAGGTCACCCGATGCAGCTGCTGCTGATGCTTCTCCTCCTCTTTCGCAGTGGTCATGGAATGGACTGAGCAGCGAGGAAAAAGCGCGTCCCTCCCTTTCACTCCAGGAAGAACGAGCAAAAAAAGGACGCAGGACGCCTGCCTGCACAAAGACGCACACCCGCGCTGCGAGCCTCGCCCGATCTGCCCGCATCTTTCAAAAATTTTGAAATTTCAATGCCAGCTTCTCAACAGCCGCGCAGTCGCACACGGAAAGGGAGGGCGATTCTTGCATTGAAGAGAGCAGCGGCGCGCCGCACACCTTCTCTTCCGGATTTGAAATCAAATCGGCAGTGCGAAGGGGCGATGCATCGGGCTTGACTTGCTTTCGGCTGTGACGGCGTGCAGAACCCTGGCCGTCCGAACGATGCTGTATCGTGCTCCCTGACGGAGGTGATGGTGAAGTCAGAGCGGAAGATGTGCGGACGAGCGATGCAGTCTATGTGTGCTGCTTGAGTCGCGGATCGGATGGAGTGGCGGCGAGGAGGAACCAGGAGCGCGGAGTGCGGAGTGCGGAGGAAGGAGGAAGCCGAATCCCTCAAGGTGGCTCGCATCGCCACGGGTGAGCATCGACAAACTCCTGAGACACGAACACTTAGGGTGTCGGCGCCGGGTCTTCACTCAGTGGGGCGCTTGCGTTTGCTAGGGCTGCCTCCGCCGGCCTTGGAGAGGCTGCGGGGCGCAGTGTCAGAGCCATCCTGGGTCGCCGGTCCGTAGATGGAGAGCAGCTCCTTGCAGATCTTGCGACGCCACTGGTCCTGCAGCTGATGACGTACACGTGAAGGACATTGTTGTTTGATAGTGCCTTATATGTCAGCGATTGACCGGACGGACAGTGTTCGGGATGCTGGTCAATGCTCACCTGCTGCGTGGTTCGTTTGGGGAGACCCTGCTTGTCAAGGACGTCGATGAGCTCGTTGAAGATGGTGCCGTAGCCTACATTGGTGAGCACGTGCTTGAGGACGTGCTGGACAATGATGTGGCGCTCCTTGTTGGTCCAAGGCTCGTGAGCGCCACGCCCCTTTTCGTTGTCGCCCGCTTCCTTAGCCATGACTGTACCGTAGATGATCGAAAGGTATGACAGTTGGCGAGTGTTCAGGTGTTCGGAGGAGATGACGTCTCTGAGCATATAGAGGTAGAAAGCGAAGACTAGTCGACACAGTGGCGGGCTTACTCTATCGAGCGGGTTCCCGCTGTCAGTCCCCCGAGGTGCGGAAGCGGAAAGCCCCCCTGGTCGATTAAGCTTTCCGCACTTGCATGCCGAATTTGTCCTCGATCCGCTCTAGCACGGACCCAAATCTGCAAGTCACAGTCGCAGAGGCACAGACAGCCTCGATCTTCACAGAGCTCACCGCATTCCATGGCAGGATCCATGCGGTTGAAGTGCAGCGGAGCTGCTGAGAGAGTAATGGCATTTCGAGACTTCGTGAAGAAAGACGAGCGAGCTGGATCAGACGGGTTCGTATGCGCCTCGTCCACCGGGACCACTGAATCCGCCTCCATTGCGGCTTCCCGACACCGTCTGCCAGACGTGCGAGGCAGCATCACGCGCAATGTACGGCGACTCGCGCCAAAAGTCCTTGTGCGGAACGAGGTCCCAGCCGCTCGCGCCGTACTGGTTGTAGTTGTTGTACATGCCCATGCCCATGTAGCCGACAAAGCCGACAAAGAGCAGGAAGAAGAGCCAGCTGAAGAAGCCCCAACCGCCCGAAGATTCCGATCCGTTGCTGCTGCTGCCGTCGTTGCTGCCATCGTCGGAAGATCCGCCGCCGCCGCTTCCTGGCTTGGACGCGGCGTCGGAACAGGCAAACTTGGTGGGCCAGCGAAGCTTGAGCTTGCCGTCTGCTCGATCGTACGAGCGCGCAGTGGGATGCGAATCGGCGTCGGCCTTGGGATCGCAGACCAGCTCAAGCTCTGCCTGCTGCTGGCGCCCCGCGTACGTGGATCCCTGCAGCTGGAGCTCGACGCTCTTTTCGCCGCCCTCGAGCTCTTCGCCCCACTCAACTTTGGCATCGATCTTGCTTCCTCCAGACTCGCCCGAGTACGCGACGGGGATGGCTTGCGTGACGATGGTCTTGCCATCCTTGATAGTCTCGATGGTGATGCATATCCTCGTGCCGCGTGGACACTGGTCCTTCTCGTCTCGATCCGGGTCGGCAGCGAGTGGCTTGCACAGATCGATATCGATCGAGGTCTTGGTCTCGGATGGTGGCGTCGACTCGGTATTGGCGGTACGAATGGGGTAGGAGATCTTGGAGAGGTCAAAGGCATGTTTTGACGAGACGGCTACGTTGCTGCAGTCGAATGGCGAAAGCGTCTGTTTAGCAGCGCTGACCACAGCTGCATTTTGAACCAGAACGAGCAGCGAAGCGGCTAGCAGGGCCACCTTGCGATTCTCGCACAGCCTACGTGGCGGGCTGGATGGAGTTGACATGGCCGAGGTGGGTGCGTATCGGAGCAGATGCGATCGGTCCGCGCGTTGTTTGGGTCGCAACGCTTTCGCCGCTCGTGATGAGGCGGCTTCGTGCGCTGAATTGGCCGAGAGCTCTTTTGTGAGATCACGACAGGTCCGTGATGATGCGGCTGCTGAGCCTATGCGGACGACGATGGATGAGCCGAAGTGATGGTCACAATGTGACTCTCGGGGTTGCCTCTGTGTGCGTGAATCTACGCTGCGCCACTTGCGACTCCTGGGATCCAGCCGCTCTCGGCCAAATTGGGCAGGGCAGGGTCCTCTCCTATCGGGCACTTCCGACGCGCTTTCAGCAGGCCGGCCGGCTGTGGGCCCAAAAAAGGCTTTCGCTGCCTCCACACGAAACTGAGCGGAGGCGCAAACGCGTGCGTGTCGGTGTCGATCCGAATCCCTGAGCTCTCAGAAAGTCTCGGCGAGGGTGCGATTAGGGTGGTGATTCAGACGAGACGATGCTCCTTTCCCTCCCATCTTCCATTCCCTTTCTCCTTCTCTGACCCTCATTTACGCACGTAGCTCCGAGCCTAGCATCGCATCCACCGCTGCGATCCCTGCTGCCAAGCTCATCGAAGCGAGCGCACGCTTACCGGAGGGCTACCACCATGTCCTCCTCCACACCCCAGCAGCAGCTCATAGCCTACATCCACCATGAGCGCCAAGAGCCTGGGAGCATGCTGTGCGCTCAGCACGCGCTCAACGCACTTCTTCAAGGACAGTACTATGATGCGTCGCAGCTCGCACAGATCGCCGCCGAGCTCGATCAGCTCGAGGCTTCCGAGCTGGGTCTCAGCGCGGCCGACATCGCCTCGCGCGACAGGTCCAGTCTCAACATGGACGACACAGGCTTCTTCAGCGCCTCGGTGCTGGAACGTGCGCTCCAAGTGTGGGGCATCTCGATCTCCAACTGGCGCTCCGCCGAGATGAGGTCCAGGCACAACGCGCCAGAGCAGGAGAAGGCCTTCGTGCTCAACCTCGACAGTCACTGGTTCACCATCCGCTCCTTTGGCAGCTCCAGCAAGTTCTGGTACAATCTCAACTCCTTCCTTCCCGAGCCTAGCTGGATCGGAAAAAACTACCTCGGAACGCTGCTCCATACCGCCGAATCCGAGGGTTACACGGTCTTTGTCGTCCAAGCCTCGGAAGGGAGTGCCGGCCAGGGCCTGCGAGAGTCTGACGCGGATCAGATTGCCGACCATCTTCCGCCACCCGGAGCTGCCGCCAGCGCGGCCTCTTCCACCACACAAACCCTCGGCTTGCGTCCCGAGTCCAATGCGAAAGCCTCGAGCAGCTCTGCACTCGACCCGCAAACGAGAAACAACGCCTTGGGCGGCGGTTTCGGCTTTGATGACGACGAAGAGGACCCGGAGCTCCAGGCTGCCCTGAGGGCTAGTCTGGCACAATCATCCGCTGCCTCAAAGGATGCTCCGGATACTCCGAGCCGATCTCGCGTTCGACCCGTACGAACCGCGACCGACGACGGCTTCTCGGGCGGCAACGGCTCTATGGTCGAGACCGATGCGGACATCGATGCGATCGCCCCATCTCGAAGGCGCCATCGCGCGCAGTTGGACGACGCTGTTGATGAGGAGCTGCGCCGCGCCATGGAGATGAGCATGTCGAGCTCGAGCCACCCATCGCGCACGAGCAGCAGCTCCGGCCACCGTGCGCAAGCTGCGTCTTCCTCATCTGGGCCTTCGTCGTCGTCCGCGGCGAATCGGCCGCTGGGGCGTCGCAAGCGTCGTGCGCAAGAGCGCCAATCGGGCCTGACGCGCGACGAAGCGATCGACCTGGACGATTCGCGCGAAGACGGAGGCTCGAGCGACTACGAAGAGCTGGCGCCGGCGTCGCTGTCGCACCGCTCGCCGTTCCTGAGTCCGGCCATGATGGCGGCAAACCGCAACAACGAGGACGTGGAGGAGATCATGGACGACGACGAGAACATCCCGAGCGACGACGAGCACGTGGATGCGTTCAGCGTGCCTGGCGCGCCCGAGGCGAGTGCGCTCATCGGTCCGCGCCGCGACCGCCACTACGACGACGAGGACGCCGAGCTGCAGGCGGCGCTCGCGGCGAGTCTGGGCGATACGGAGGCGGCCGCGCGGTTCGCGACGGCCAATCCGGACTACCGCCATCCGCTGCGCGAAGAAGAGACGCAAGCAGTGCCGGAGGATGTGGACCGCATCTCCAGGATGCGCGAAAAGGCGCGCAGGAAGGCGCGCGAGGACGAGGAGAGGCAGCAGAGGCTCGCGCGCGGCGAGGTGGAAGACGAGCCAGAGGTGCAGGCTCCACACAGCGGGAAGGAAGCGGCGAAAGCGGCGGAGGACGAGGATGACGAGGCGTCCGAGGCCGAGGAGGTGAGTGCGGAAGAGATGCGTCGGCGCCGCCTGGCGCGCTTTGGATAGGCGCAAAGCTGCAATGCATGCATCTGCAGTCTTGACATGCGGTCATCAGTATTGTTCGTGGAAATGGCTTGCATGAATGAGAGACGGGATGAAAAGGTAGTGCTACAATTGTTTCGGCGGAAACTGAGGGGGGTCGGGGAGGAAGAGTGGCTTTCGAGATGAGGGGTTGGGAGAGTGTCTGGCCTGGCCGTGCTTTCTGCTAGCTGAGCAAGTTCATCATCTGTGAAGATAGTCGGCCTCGCAGTAGAGAACAGGTTGGGTTGGACGGGTATATGGTCGAAAGCGAGTGCAGCTTTGAGACGTGCAGTTGGGGCGTTCGAGGGCGAATCGAGCTTTTACATGGGCTTGGCGGGGAGCTGGGTGGGGAGGATGCCGAAGCGCTTCTTGATGGTGACGCGGTGTCTGGAGAACTTGTCGTCTGGGGAGAAGCGTGCCGGGTGTGCCGACTTGGTGATCACGCCCTCGACGGTCTTCTTGTTGAGCGTGTAGATACGCTTGCCGTCCTATCGCATGGTTGGCGTCGAGTCGCAAACAGTCAGTCTCTTCATCTTGCTGCGCAAAATCGATGCAATCGACGGTAGAAAAAGCTTACCTTGTCTTCGGTGAACATGAGATGCATATTGGGCAATGTCTTGAGTGGGTTGGATGAGGATTGAGTATCGAAAGGATGGTGGAGTCGATGGTGGAGTCGATGGAGCTTTTGCAAAAAGTTGGCAGTGGCTGAGCGAGGCGGAAATTTTCCAAAAGTGACGAACAGGCCTTCTCAAATGACAGCCCCAACCGCACGAGAAAGGCGGCCAAATGATTTTTCGGACTTCGGATGTTAGTTGGGCTTTTGAGACATGCACTCATGTTCCAGCGAGGCTGCGAGCAGTGTGTGCTGGAAGTCGGCTTGGCCGAACTCAAACGACGCGGCTCGAGCCACCTTGCTCGACATTCACCCTCTTGCTCCTATCATCCGGCTCATCGTCTCGCTTCACACACACGCACACACACACA